TCTGTGATGTAATGTCTCTCTTAAAAACGCGTGCTGTCTAGTCTCGTTCCATCATCTAAATACTGCTTGTATCACTATATATATGTATTGCAGAAAATGAAAACCCCATGACCTTCCGGTCCTACAGAGATCACTTGTATCACTCTCTGTCTATATCACATGTGTCTCTATCTAATAACATCTTCCGTCTATAACTCATCACAGACTATACAGGCTTTGGTCACTGATCAAGGATATAAGCTGTATGGGTTGAGCAGCGGGGGTAGAACACACTATAGCAATGCATAGGATGGAGATGAGAACACCTCCGAGTTTACTTTTGAACACAATTTTTTTTTCAATTTTTCGAACACAATTTAGTCCAAAAGTAAATTCTTTACATTTGAATCAAAGTTCAAGTGTTCGATTCTATTAACTGTGTATGGACACTTCTTTTTTGTCCATGTCCGTGGACAAAAATTTTTTTCTGTCCATGTCCATCATTTTTGTTCATAGAATGTTCGCGTTTTTAAATTGTTGCTTTGAAAAAAAATTTAAGAGTTTTTCAGTTTGTCCATGGACAAACTTAAAAAAGCTGTCCATGTCCAGCTAATGCAGGGCTCTAACTGTGTACCGTTCTTTTGTGCTTTGCTTCTTTCTGTTCTATCCTTGTCTCTTTCAATCAACCAAAAAACCAACGAAATCAAAGATTCCAGATAGAGAACTCATTTTCAGTTCTCTCAACACCAAATATTTTACCGTGAAGATCAATTATATGCAGGATTTTAAGTAACTCAAGCCCGTTCCTCCGAAAGCTCAACCACTTGCTACAAAAAGGATCATCCATAATTTTTCCGACGTCTTGCATGCCCTGGCATCCCCTTTTAGACTTGGTTACACCATGTTTTACTCGAAGTTTTCTTGAGAACATGATGTAATCAAGTTTTGACATAGAAAAGATCTCATTTCTTGTGCAAGATATCAGTTTCTTGGAGCGAAGGATATTGGAAAGCACAGGTTTGAGGGTCATTAAAGGTCTAAAGTTTTTCTTCAAGCAGCTGAGATGCTGATTTTACCATGTTTTACCCGGACTTCTCTTCGGGAACATGATGCAATCAGGCTAGATCATTTACCTCAGGTTCACTTAGACAATGAAGTTAAAATGAGCGCACAGCAATTTTATTTCTGTTACTTTATAGTATAAAATTTATACACTTTCTCAATTGCTGTGTTTATGAAGCTATTATTCAACCTACTCAAGTTTTCATATCACTTTTATATAGGGTCTATGATGCGCGTGTCAACTGAAAAAGAAAAATGCACCCTTTTCCTCTCATATTTCAAGATCAAAGGTCTATATTTTGATTTAGGCTATATAACAAAATATAAAAGTATCAACGAAATATAGACTTCACGCAAAAAGGCATTCACGTGTTTCTTTCTTCTTTCTCTATTTAGGATGGGTAAGTATAATCTGCCTGTCGATTTTGCCTGTGCCTGTCGCCTGTGGATGAGGATTGGCTGAAACTTTTTTGTCTAAAATGAAACAATATTTAGAAATAAAATAAAATAATCTTTATTTTAATTTAAACACAATCTTATGGCTAAAGAAAAACATAAAAAGTGAGCGTTTATAGCGACAAAGATGTCGCTTGTGGGCAGATAAACGACTTGTCCAGTAGACATTCTTTCAAATACTGGATTTATTGTAAAATTAGATCAGTGGGAGAACTGGACTTGTGTAACATAATTTTTGGGACTGTTCGCTCTAAAGCAGATCTGATGAAATTTGTGGCTATATCTCTCCTATCTAACGGTATTTCAATCAATGAGTTACCCAAATGTTCCAGCTATGCTTTACCAAAACTATAAAACAAACAATAATACACAAGTAGAGATATTAGCCGACCTCAAACTGAACGGTGTGATAAGAGAAAAATTTGATCGGCAGCGGCAAGCTAAAGTAGTTACCCGTTTTAAAGTGGACGGATCAGTTTACACCTCTATACACACTTTAAAGTAGCCGTATTCTTCTTCTAAGAAATGGTCGTTAACTATCGAGCTTTTGTATAAGCTTTCTTTCATTTATCAAGCAAAAACTATTTTCGCTAACTTGAGTTGTCCTTTCTTGCATAAGTGATGGTTATTGCACAGTTCGGTTCAGTTTTTACTAGCTACAAGAAACTTTTTTAAAAAGGTGTGATGACAGTATCAAAAGTGGTCAAATCAAAAGTAATCAAAAGTGGTACAGGTTTTCTTTGAAAAGGAGAATGACTTTGAACAAGAAAAAATTTCATTAAAAAAAAGTATTGAAACAATTTCTCCGTAAATAATTTCTCTAAGCACCAAAATGATAGTCTTTTGACAATTTTTACGTGGTAAAGTAAATAAAAACTAACAGTAATTACGCTGGAAAAACGAAAACGACAAAATCTAATATATGAGAAATAAGGATATCAGAAATCACAAATAATCAACAATGCACTGAATATCAAAGCAGGAAACAAGTTTAGTTACTGTTATAAAAACCTAAGAAAATATACATATGAAAATCAAATTCTAATAAGACTAATACCGGGTGTTTCAAAACGATTGTTCGTTTTTCTGTTTGCATATATCTCAGTCCAAAAATATAATAAAATTTTAGATCTTTTTAAAAAAAATGCACCGTTTAATTCTCTACAAAAAACAAATTGTAAATTTTTCTATGTACCTTAAGAATAGGAGACTATGGAGGAAATACTGTGAATCTGCAATCTCGAGTGCTTCCCAGCCCAAAAAACACTGAGAAACAAATTTATTTTGAGTACATTGCCATTCATCAAAGTGAACTAAAATATATGTTCTACTTCTTTTGAGTGTTGTCTTTCTTTTCATATATCATAGGTTACCTTCAGAGGTGTTTTTCTTGCATAAAAAGCGATTTTACCAAAACTCATCGTAAAAACGAGAAAACTGGACTTTTCGTCTTAGCACAGTAAAAGGAACAAAACTATTGAACTTTTCCCCTTCAGATGTAAAAGCAGTGTTATTTTCCTTCAAAATAAAACAAATCCGACCTTAAAATGTTCGATTTTGACCCAGTTCGAACAATTCTCTCAAGTGATCCAAAAAGTATAGTATGGTAATTTATAAGTAGTATGGTAATTTTTGACAAGAAAAAAAGAAAACAAAATTTACTCCTAACCGCTTTTGTTGACAAATAATTTAAAATATTGTCAATCAATTGCTTTTCGAGTGCTACAAAACGGCTATCTTCTCTATGTGTATATCGCAAAATGGACGGAACTAAACGAAAAAACTATTTTTTGGGCTGGGAAGTACTCGAGATTGCGGATTCACAGTATTTCTTTCATAGTCTCTTATTCTTAAGGTACATAGAAAAATTTACAATTTGTTTTTTGTAGAGAATTAAACAGTGCATTTTTTTAAAAAAATCTAAAATTTTATTATATTTTTGGACTGAGATATATGCAAACAGAAAAACGAGCAATCATTTTGAGACACCCAGTATAACCAAAAAAGAACCTACACCGTTAGAAAAAGAATGAAAACGAATGCTATTTTGGTTTCACTAGACAAAACTGTTGTGATAAATTTAAACTGGATTGTGGATTATTTTGAATCGATATAACTCGAAGTGCAGGTAGAAATGATGAAAAAGGTTGACTGGGAGATGCAGTGGCAGTTTGTTGTTGTGATAGTATTGCTGGTGACGAATTAATTGACGATTGGGTTGTTGTTAATTGTATATTTGCAATATTGCAGAATGGTTGTAAAGTATTTCTTGTTGCTCTCGTTTGTGGTGGAGTGATTGTTGATGTTGAAGGTTGGGCAAGTAACCGTTGCTCATAAACCTTGTTGGCTTGTTTATCAACTCGTCTTGGCCTTTTTCGTCCGCTAAGACCATCCTTGTTTTCTTTTGTTGCCATTTTTCGATCGGCACCAGCATTCAACGTATAATCGTTATCGTTCACTGGCATTTTCAGGTATACTTTAACGGCTATTATCTGAAACAGAGAGGTGAAGGTCCAAAAATTTCGTGTTAACGTTTTTTCATACGAACAAACATTTTGTTGCAAAAATATTCGATGCTGTCGGTAAAAAAAGAAATTTTCAAACGTTAGGAAAGTGCCCTTCCCCTTTCTACACCTCTGGATAAATGCTATATAATGTTGTTATTGTTTATACATACGTGCTCATGAAACAAAGTCTCTACTTACATGAGAACATAACTGGAGAGTGCTTGGACATGAACATTTAAATAAACGATTTGGATCACGCATATGGACCTAGAAAGTAAAAACATTATAAAATTATACGATAAAAAGAGACTACTACAGTCATATTAAAATAAGAGATACATCGATTAATTATACAGAGACAAAAAAAACTGAACGAAAAAACCAAAAAACTAACCACATAAATACTTTGTTGATCAAGTGATGTAACCGTAAAAAATCTATCATCTTGATCAAACTTTACACAGTTTTGATCGACTAATAATGCTGCTTTTGTCCTAGGTGTTAATGTTCTCCGAACGACGGCTTGTGCATCTACTGGGGGTGCTGTTATCATTGACGTTGATGATGCTGATCGTGGTTCATTTTCTGTCTTATCAGATGATGAGAACTGATCGTGAGGTTGATTTGAATTTTCAACATGCACTAAATCGAGCAATGGAGGTGATGGTATTGGTGATAATAAGTCCGTGAGTGCAGATGACGGTGCTTCCATTAATTGCTTTGCTTTTTCCAGAATCTCGTTGGGATTATACGCATTTACCAATGACAACAAGGAGCGATCGGTTTTATGTTGCTTTGATGTTACCTTCAAATGATAATTGCCTAAAACACATACGACGATACCAGCGCGATGCAAGCAAAAGGTTTTACTTACCAACGTCACAAAAACCACGTTTTAACTCATTACAATAATAGCCCATTAACAGATACATGAACAGAACCAGCTTATCACTTGTTAATTCCTTCCAGGCAACCCACTTTTTGACCACCGCATTGATACTTTCCACAGGATTGTTAGTGATTCCCGAAATTTCGTCAAACAAGCCATGCGGTCGACTAGCCCAACCCCCTAAACACAAAGCGCGGAACTATAAGAAGACAACAAAACCAGAAAAATAGGATGAACAGGAAGAGTCGACTCGGTGAAGGCAGCATTATTCTAGGATAT